CCGAAGAGACATGGACCGAAGGTAGCCCTATTTGCCCCCCTCCCCTCCCTGGTGTAGACAATGAACCACTGGGAACAGAACAAATGGAACCGGATCACATAGCCCCGAGGAATCCAAAACCGCCGCAGCGCCTGCCACACAGCTGAAAAACTGCATGGCACTGTAGGCCCGACTAAGGATGAGCCCTGATGCCTATGGTTGGACTGGTGAGCACATTTCACAAAGCTCCACTCAAGCACCAAAGCATCTGTAAAAACACCAACCAAGGGAAGGGGAAGGTGCCATGGCACCAAACCCAAAAAAAACGAAGAGGAAGCTGGGGACACAGCAACCACCAGGGGAGAACATAGCTATCGCAAGAGCAGTGATAGGTTGCCTCAAAGATACCAGAACAGCCTCCAGAGCCAAACCCAACCCAATGAATCAACCAGGACAAAGACAGGCTTCCGCACAGCTGCTTGAGCAACTGCTGAGTCACCCGGTACCCCCACAGCAGCAGCTGACAGCAGAATTGCAGTCGAAGCAAGGCCGCAGAGTGGCGAGAGAGAGCGACACCGTTCAGGAAAACCAAACAAGGCCCAACTGGGCCTTTCCCCAGCTCACAAGGAACCCAAAACAGCTAGAAAGGACCCTGGCTAGCAGACAGACTGGCTGGAAGCCCAAATGAACCAGTCAATGAAGTATGCCAAGACCTTTGAAAACGGGCTACCATGATCCAAGATAAGCGAGACAAGTGCGTAAAAAACGTGAGGTACCAAATTCAGGCCAAAAGGAAGACAACCAAAGTAGTAAGCATGTTGTCTCACCACAAAACCTCATCAATCTCTGAACCCCAGAATATGGACAAGCCAACAAGCATCCTAGAGGTCCTGGGAAACCATCAAACGCCTGGCCCAAGAATGAGCCAGACCTGGGACAACATGGCCAGCTGAAAGGAGGCACTCGAAAGTAACTGGTCCAAAAGAGAAAAGAACAGGAAAGACTGGAGATTCGCACTGTCCCGTTTCGGAACCGGAAAAGTGGGAAACCCACCAAAGAAAGAGGTCGTGTTCACTACGCCTATGCGAACCCACTCTAAAATGACCAGACGGATGGAAAGGAATGATGCTCATTCCATCCGACCCAACCCTACTAAAGGAGGAAGGGCAGCCTACCACCACCGAAGGATGCAAGGCACTCCCTAAAAAGCCCATGAAATGTGGGACCAGAAATGGGCAAATAGAGCCAGCCTCTCCCCATCACCCTGTCACAAGGGCAACCTGTAAAAGCTGACACCACAGGCCTACCCTGACACAAGACAGCCCGAGCTCTGGCCTGACCCTTCAGAGAAGGCCGAGACTGACCCCATGGACATTCAACAAAACAGAAATAGAACAGCCACCTATCGGAGCACCCAACACCGACCTCCGGGAAAAACTATGAACAGAATGGTGAAGCAGAAAGGAGAACCAGGACCCCCCAAGCTGAAACCAAACAGTGACAGCACAGCTTGCCGACACATGAGATGAGCAATGAAAAACATGAAACCGTTTTCCTAAGGATCTGTGCACACAGCTCTAGAGGAAGGCAAAAGACACCAAAGCAGCCAAGACCAGGACACCAGCAGCAGGCACCCAGCGAAGGGGTGTTGGCATCCCTGAAAGCCAATCCAAAGGAAGCTCCAGAAGGGGCAGGAACCGTATGTCAGAGGCCAAGTGCACCCAAGTCAGAAGGTCGCTGGCCACCAAAGCAGCCGAAAGAATGTAACCTGAGTGTGTAACTGCACCGGACCCACATCATGGGTAATGCAGTTCCTAGTGAAGAGGTATGCAAGGAGGAACTCAAAGGAACCTCCCCAAAAATTCCCCATAACACGAAAAGCCACCGCTTGCCACTCAAGTGTGTTGGTCCGACAAAAACCACCCCTAACCCCAAGCAAAGACAATGGACAGTCCGATAACCAGGACAACTCCAGAATCCTCAGAATGCATCAAGAGGAGGAAGAATACCTGCCCTCAAAAGAGGCCAGATACATCGCCGAGGTCATAACCGGGTCACGCAGGAGGTAAGCACCAAGGGCCTCCTGAACCTCCGCAGGGGAAAGATGAAAGAAAACCTCCAGGAAGACGAATCCTGGGAATCCTGGGAACCCTATGACAAGGGTCCCAGGGCTGAGCCCTCATCCACGTCACCACTAGAAAGAAAAGACGGAGTCTAGGGGAAAAGGCCTCCAACGAGGGGGCTGGCTGGTATGACTCAGAAGCCTCGGCAGGAAGGAGAGACTCAACTACCTTTGCACTCGCATCAGAAGGGGCAACCCCCAGAGCCACCTGAGCTAAGCCCTGCCCCAGCTCCAAAACCCCTCTGACACATCAGAGCTGGAAACCAGGGGAGAGGATTAGGGCAAACCACCCACCTGGGAAGGAAGAGGGGGTGTGGATGGAACTACGATTGATGCGACCAACACCCCCAAAATTGAGTCCCGAAAACCAAGCGGGACCGTTCCAGGACTTCCAAATGGGCAGACAACCTAAAACGTTGCACCACAAACACGCCTATGCAACACAACACCTGCTCGATCCCTTGAAATATCCGATGAGGAAAGGATAATCTGGAGTAAATGAGGAGAACAAGTCCCACAAGACTCCGGGTCGTAGGTGTCACCGACCCCACAAGCATCATGGTAGAGGCAGAATGGATGATCATAAGGCAGGGGTGAAAAGCACCCTGCTTCACCTTAAACCCTCAAAGTCGCACAAGACGAGAGCGGGCTCTGAAGAGGTACCGTTGAACAACCGATCAGCAGGGGATTTCCAGGGCCTGTATATAGGGTGAATGAGTCCTACAGGAAGCCCAGACACTGGGGCCCAGCTACACTGGTAAACCCTGTTGGTGTTCAGGCAATCTGACTGTATGAAAATGCAGGAAAGCCCAATGAGCAACAGAGGATGACCACCACACGCACAGCCTAATATGGTGAGAGGCAGAACTCCACTGCTGAAAAAGCAACAATAATGTCAGCAGAAGTTAAAAACCAACATGAATATCCCCAAAACAACTCAACAGAAACCAAGCAGAGAAAGATCGATGTGCCATCACTAGCTGAATGCTGACCGCAGAGCGCCCCACCAGCCTACAAACACTCCCCTACCCAGGGCAAGGCGGCAAGCATAAAGCCCCGACAAACCCCATGGGCAAAAACCACCCCAAGCGAGGAAGTCCTCTAGCGGGAAGTGATTCCTGAATGCCCCAGGGAAGAAAACCCTGATCACAAAAGAACAGTACTTACTGAGCACCAGGGAAGGTACGTGAACCTAGGCACATGCTGCTCCAGTACTCTACACTCCTGGCCAATGCACACAATTGTGTAAGAACAGCATGAATAAGGCAAAAATGCCCAAAACAGGAAACTGTGGTCAGAGCGACGCAATGTCCTCCAGGCACGCATCAATCGGGCTGGTGGCAGCCCGACTCACCCAGGCTGGATCTCCCCCCCCCTCCCTCAACTGGGGGAGCTAACAAGTATGAGGTTAATTGAATGAAATTTTGTTTGTTTTCTTTTTGGGGGAGTTCTTTTGATGTTTTGAGGGTGTAGGTCACATTTTTCAATCAGGCAGTGGTCTGTTTTGACTCACCTACCTTTATAGGTTCCTTCCCTGGTCCATGGCAAGATGATAAACTTTAAATGTAAAGTGTTCATGAGCCACTGCTCCCTGCGCTTCTGTGAGGGGGGACCAGGTTCTGGCTCGCGGTCACCGGTAAGCATACAAGAGCTCTGCGGCTGATGACCCATAGTAGTGCCACACTACTTTGCCAAGTAGTGTGGCATTTAATCAGTAAGCTAGCTTCAGGGAGTAGACAGTGCTTTCCACACTACTTTGCCAAGTAGTGTGGCATTTAATCAGTAAGCTAGCTTCAGGGAGTAGACAGTGCTTTCCACACTACTTTGCCAAGTAGTGTGGCATTTAATCAGTAAGCTAGCTTCAGGGAGTAGACAGTGCTTTCCACACTACTTTGCCAAGTAGTGTGGCATTTAATCAGTAAGCTAGTTTCAGGGAGTAGACAGTGCTTCCCACAGAAAACAAATTTAACCACTTTACTTATTTTATTATAAATCATATTCTACCTTATACCACCACTGTGCTTTATAATATCATATTTGTTTAGGATATCATATTCATCTAAGGTGTTATATTACAAAAGTGTACTGAATTTTATTGTTTAATACTTTATAAAGTATTCTGCACTACCTACTTATATTAATTTTACATATTTCATTAAAGTTCTGTTTTGTGCATGAGTGTGTAATATAAGTGTAATATAATGTGTAATATAATGTAAGTGTAATATAATGTAAGTCAACCTTATGTGGCTTATTTATTAAATGAATAAATACACTGCACAAATTACAATACTGTACTCAAGTCACAAATAGATATGCCCAAAAGTAAAAGATTATCTTGGGCTTGAATGTCCATAAGAAAAATTTAGACCATTGAATGTAGTGAAACACTCTTCTCTTGGCATTGCCCAAGTACCTTGAAAATGTTTTTGTACTGGCCATTAACAGACAGAATAACTAAAGCCAAGAGTCTGTAATATTCCCTGCCTACTGGAAACATTTGCTATCTCCTTAGTAATTTTCCATTACCCTCCTTACGAGGTATGGGAACACCTGGAAATCAGGTTCAATCTAGTTCTCAAACTAGATTGATCTTGATATTCTATAACTATAACTAGCTCCAGGTCTAGAAGCAATGAAAGGGAGGGGCACACATGACTCCAAAACTTTCATTCAAGAAATATTTAGGAAAAGTGTAAAACTGACAAACAAGAATATGAAAACTACCATACAAGCAGTCCCAATGGCTTAATGCCCCTTCACTAGCAGGTGGTTATCTTGGTTATCTTGAGATGATTTCGGGGCTTTAGTGTCCCTGCGGCCCGGTCCTCGACCAGGCCTCCACCCCCAGGAAGCAGCCCGTGACAGCTGACTAACTCCCAGGTACCTATTTACTGCTAGGTAACAGGGGCATTCAGGGTGAAAGAAACTTTGCCCATTTGTTTCTGCCTCGTGCGGGAATCGAACCCGCGCCACAGAATTACGAGTCCTGCGCGCTGTCCACCAGGCTACGAGGCCCCTTCAGTCAAAAGGGGTAGTCAAAATCACCCCGAATCAAGGAGATGAAGCAATGTTACTCTTCAGGAAAGATACAACCTTATGTCACTGGAAGAGACAGGGGCAGGGAAAAGGAATTACTGAGGCAGTGTCCAAAATGGGGCATTTCATTACACATCGCTTATTTATGAGCATCCTCCTCAAATGCTTCCTCTGCATGGTGCCTCATGCAAACTTCCTTGAACATAACACGAGCCATATCATAAGAAACATGAAATAAAAAATAACAATAACACTATAACAAATTTTTTTTAAGGTTACGTGAAAGCTGAAGACACCTTATCTACAGCTATGACACATTGTCACAGCTCTAGATAAGTAGTCAGCAGCCTTCAAGTAACCTACAAGACATCTTCCCTAAAAGCATCTAAACAACAATTTTAGAAACTCTACACCCCAAGATTGGGAGAGAGAGCCATGAAGTAGTCTGAGTGGTCTGGAAGACTTAAGTCTTAGGAATGACACTGATGAGTGCAGCACAAGAACAGAATACAAAACCAGGGCTAAAATCTCCAAACGGTAACCCTCAATTAAGTCTCCTAGAGCCCAGGTGAATGGGAAGGTAAGCCCCAAATCTCTCTAACATTGCTAACATACAGAGAAGAGCCTGAACGGTAGGATTGTGCCTATGGCACCTCTACTCTTCACTGGCTCTATTCTGCATTTCCTTCCATATATGTCACTCCAGTATGTAGTTATTTTACTGTGCAAATTTGGGACCTCCCTTCCCTAGGGTGGGGAGGAACTAACAGCATGTCAATTGGTGATGTTTTGCTTGTTGCATTTTTTTGGGGGGGGGGGGGGGGGGGGCGGGGGGAGTTCTTGGGCTCTGTTTGGTCTTGGGTTTCAATTTTCTACCAGTTGGGGTTTGTTTTGGGATGCCTACCTTTCTGGGTGCCTTACCCCAGTCGATGGCAGACATAAATATACTCTCAAAGAGTGGAGTTTTCGTAGGCCATTGCTCCCTGTGCTCTCTCTGAATATCTCTTACTGAAAGAAAGTGGCCTCCCTTCACTATGAACAAGACTCTAGGCTGGGTTTAATGGCAAGCAAGGCAACCCTTTGCAAGTCTCAAAAGTCTTAAAGCTCTCAAAAACAGAAGTGAAGAAGGGCCAGGATCATAACTTCATATCAACTGAAAACCCATAACACTGGGAGGCAGGTTGAGAACTCCAGCCTTCAGATGCCACATCAGGACCCAAAAGTTCATTTCCAGTACATCATGCACTTGTACTTGCCGAATATGGCCCTAGTTAACCATTATATAAATCCAAAGTATTATCTCTAGCATGTCTCAGTAACTTTATCGTTGTATCTAAAACAAAACTTCAAGTTAACAGGGACAGCTGCTCATCATCATGCCCCTCCATGTATTTACCCTATGTTGCAATGTAACTAAGGGAAACAAATAATTTCAATTGATTCGACTTGACTTGCATTTTCTTTGTGGGTTTTAATATGTGATAATAGAGAAGATTTCACTGTAAAGTTTTTTAAACATTCTGAGCACTGATATGGTTTTTCTCCTGTATGAATTCTTGTGTGTGATACTAAAGCATTTCTCTGTGAAAAAGCTTTATAACACACAGAACACTGATATGGTTTCTCTCCTGTATGAGTTCTCAAGTGATATCTTAGATCAGATCTATTTTTAAAACTTTTAGTGCATATGGAACATTGATATGGTCTCTCTCCAGTGTGAGTTCTCGTGTGTGTTACTAAAGAATTTTTATATGAAAAGCACCTGAAACACTCTGGACACTTATATGGTTTCTCCCCTGTATGAATTCTCATGTGTAATACTAGACTGCTATTTTGTGTAAAACATTTTGCACACTCTGAACACTTGAATGGTTTCTGTCCAGTATGAAGCATCATGTGTGTCACTAAAGAATTTTTATGTGAATATTTCTTTAAACACTTTGGACAGTGATATAGCCTTTCCACTGTATGAGTTCCCTCTCTTGTATGAGTTTTCAAGTGGTTTAATAGAGACAATTTATATGAAAATGTTTTCATGCACTCTGAACATTGATACGGTTTCTCTCCTGTGTGAATTCTCATGTGCGAGTCTAGACCGTTACTCTGCGTAAAACACTTTGAACACACTGAACACTGATATGGTTTCTCACCTGTGTGAGTTCTCATGTGTTTTGTTAGTGAAGAATTTAGTGAAAAGCATTTTAAACACTCTGAACACTTATATGGTTTCACTCCTGTGTGAATTCGCATGTGTGTTATTAAGCTGCTATTTTGGGTAAAACATTTTGAACACTCTGAACACTTGTATGGTTTCTCACCTGTATGAGTTCTCATGTGTGCTATTAGGTAATAATTTTGTTTACAGTCTCTTAAACACACTGAACATTGGTAAGGTTTCTCTTCTGGCTGTGAACTCATTTTTAATAAAAGATAATATTTTAGGTTTTTCAGCCACACTACTAATATGGTGTCATTTGTGAATATTATTATGTTATACAGGAGCTTAAGTATGCACAAACCTTTTTTGGTATAATGAACAATGATATGGTTTCTCTACAATATATCTGAAAATGTGGTATTATCTTCCCCAACAATGGGCTATAACTTTGCCAAACTAAAAGGACACTATATCAGAAAATCAGAAGAATTTTGATGAGAAATCTCTCCAATGCATTTGAATATGTAACAAATCTCTGAATGAACATTAAAGTCCTCAGTTCTGACCTAAAAAAAATCTACTGTTGGATAAATTATTATATCTACAGACAGTTATGCAACTCTACCTTAAATGGCAATAATGTACAATATTTTTATCATATTTTTATCAAATTTTTATCAAATTGTTTATCATATTTTTATCAGATATTTATCAAAATATTTATCATATTTTTATCTGTTAAAAAATGCTACTGACTGATGAAATACATGTCAAGGTAAACATTCTTAATGAAATCTATAAACCAATAACTTTCAATACATTATATAATAATGTATTGTAATAATGTATATAATAATCTATGTATAATCAGGCTAACTTTGGAGAAAAACAATATTGGTGAAGGTAACAGCCTAAGTGTAATTCCTTAGGTGTAGTTACAGGATGAGAGCTACACTGTGGTGTCCCACCTTGCCAGTACTCTTTGTCTTGTGATGTTTTGAAACTACTGATGGTTTTGGCTTCCACGGCCTTCTCAATTAACTTGTTCCAATTTTCTATCACTCGGTTGGCAAAAGAGATAGGTCATCACCTACAATATTTAGTAACTTCCAGCAAACATGTCTGTTAACTCACTTTCCTAGATAATACGTATGGAAACTTTTTTAGGAAAGGAGATTGCTATTTTTCTTGAGTCAGAAAGCCGCTGGAATACTAGAATGATCTGCAAATCTGAAAATTTAACATAACATTAGACAATCTGTAGTTTAAACAAATCACTAAATTCAAAAAGTTAAAATGTTACATTAATAGCAAAATGCACAGCCTGCAAATATAACATGGAGGCAGTGACAGCAGTTTAGAAGCACAGGGAAATCATTCCAAGAGCCTATCTTCCGAACCCCAAGAATCTACCTTCTGAAAAGAGTGAATACAGCACTGACCAGATGTAGGAGGATTGGCTGAGAAAAGTACATTCATCCTGGCTTTTGACTCCACCAATTGCCTAACCAGACCGACTGAGGGTGTCCTATCCAACTGCTTCAAAGCCCAAGAATGAAAACCTGGTACAGAGAGGTGTTCATAATGGGCCAGCAAGCTGTAACTGCCGAAGACAGAAACTGGACGGGGATAAAGGAGAAGCAGACAGGAGAACAAGGGCCCACGCTAACTCAAGAAACTGGGCCAACACAGCAGTCGACATGCGAGTTAGATGGCAAACAACGTGGCCATCGTCTCTGGGAGCATGGAAGCATACAGCTTGGGGAGTGCAGAGGATGCCACAACAGAAGAGGTAAAGACTCCTGCAAGTGCCCCCCCCCCTCACTGAGTGCTCTGACATCCTCTATGAGCTAATCAAAATGCAGCTCAAGTAGTTCCAGAGAGTGCACAGATGCAGACAGATGTGAAGGATGTCTGCCACAAGCATGGCCAATAACAGGGATACTTGGTCACGGAACAGCATGAGTCTTATATCCCAAAAAAGAGTGGGAGCAAACAGGCAGTTACTGAGAGGCATAAAAGAAGAGCCCCTACAAACACGTGTAACATGGTTAACACCTCACGTGACTCCAGCCTGCAGGTACGACAAATGCCGTGCCAAGCCCAAAGCAAAAACAAGAGTTGTCTGCTAGCCAGGAAGACTCCAGAACCTGATGACATATCCAATTCTAAGAAGACCCAAACTAAAAGAGTTTGGGACTCCTGACCCACCATAGCAGGGACCAGAGAGGTAGGATTACCCTGGAAGGATGAACCTGAGCCTAAAAGCTTGGACACGAGCCCTGGGAAAGCCGCAACCAAATCATACTCACACAAAGAGCGGAAGATATGAAAATCTCTCCCCTTTCAAAAGGAGACCCATCTTAGAGGGATACCAAGAACCACAAAGAGTTGAAAGGGACCCAAGGGCCCATATCCGACTCCCCCCCCAAAGCACTGGAAGCTGCAGCATAGGACTGGGCAGAGTCAGTTTCTGCCCATCGCTCAGGATAGAAAAGCCAAGGCCAAGGAAAAGGCTTCAAAGGAAGAAGGGGCATGCTGAAAGAAAATAAAAGAAGCTGCAGCAGAACTAGCAGGCTCAAATGCCTATGTGCCCTAGTCAAAAATGGAAACTCTCTGGAACTTGCTGAGCCACATCCCGAGTTAAATCCTGCCCTGACCCCAAAATCCTCAGACGCTTCAGGACCAGAAGCAGGGAGAGGGCGGAGGACCAGAGTAAGGGCAAACCACACTCGAAGGGGAAGGAAGAAGAGGTGAGGATGGAACCAAGGTGGAATTTACCAACCTCTAATTCCATGTCCTTAACCATTACACTGCACTGCATTATAATGACACCCCCTCTTGGTATGCCAGAACAAAATTATTTTATACTTTAGCCATGATGGAGCTGAGAAGTTGAGCAATTTATAATTGTTGAGAGATTAGGTGCTTGGAGATGCAATTGTTGCAAAGATAGTTTTTCATAATTATTTCAATGTCTCTCATTGGTTTTTTGCTGTAATATTATTCAAAAGTGTGTAATTAATGAAATTTATATAATGAATCCATTATATTCACTGTGTCGGGGGGACAGGAAGCCATAGTGTATCATACACGTTAGACTTTTATCAAGGTTACCCCGACCTCCCCTAGGGTCAAATTACAGACCCCACCCAGGATGCAACCCTACAACAAGCTGACTAACTCCTGAGTACCTACTTGCTGCTAGGTGAACAGTTCCATTAGATGAAAGGAAATGTGTCCAAACATTTCTGTCACACTCGGGATTCGTCAGCTTAGGGCCCGACAACTGAATGTGGCGAGCGCTGCCCCAAATACATTTTTACATACTGTAGAAACCCACGAATCCAAAAAATGCCCTAATCCAGCAAAAATGGTGGCCACTTATTCATTTAACTGGATAAAGTTATCTCCCTATCCAGCCAAAATGTCCATGGAAGCCGGACTAGCAGATGTTTGGCCGGATCAGCGGCCTAACACTCTTTGTACACGACCATCAGGAAGGGAGGAAGTCACCCTTACTGCTGCTCACTTCCTCTGTCCCGCCCCAACCCGTTCTCGCACTTCCTTATAATCAATATTGACTTATTAAATACATGCATATGTGACATACTACTTTATTGTGAATATTTTAGTTTACCTTGAAAAGCTTTATAGAAAACACCGACCTTACCTAACCTTCTTAGCATGTTAAGATAAGCATCTTATTGCTTCGTAATTACAATTATTACTTAACCTATACCTATAATAGGTTAAGTAATAATTGTAATTACGAAGCAATAAGATACTTATCTTAACATACTAAGAAGGTTAGGTAAGGTCGGTGTTTTCTATGAAGCTTTTCAAGGTAAACTAAAATATTCACAATAAATTAGTATGTCACATATGCACTTATTTAATAAGTCAATATTGACTTAAAGAAAGTGCGAGAACGGGTTGCACCCCCCGCCCACATTCACTGCCTCCCTCCCTCCCTCTCCAAGAGATCCTTCCTTAGGTGGCAGTAGATTGCCAGCCTGGAGAATTTTCATCAAATACAATAAAGCATTCATGAAACAAGTATTTTTATAACTTTTTATTATCCTAATAATATTAATAAACAAAATCTGTAACCAAAAATATATATATGATCATGTACATCCAGAATTTAAGAAACAATTCTAGCTAATGGGATCAAGTGTGTAGGGTTATCAGAGTGAGCCCGCCCTCCCCCATCACAGACACACCTCCCCCACCTGCCCCACATTCCATACACACACTGCTCCATTGGTCACGTAGCTCAACTGTCCATAATTCATAAGTAAAAATGTATTTGTTTAATTAATAAACAGGAAGCAATAAAACATGTTAATGATTATTAATGTATTGTAATACTGTACTGTACACTTAACACAAAAATCAACATATAGCATAAAGCTAAGCATAAAGCTAAGATATAAATTTTAATATGGGCGGGAGGCTTTGGTCACTGCTTTGTCAGCGAATTAATACGTTGACTTCATAACACATTCCTCACTACCTCTCCTTCACTGACTGGACTGACTGGACTTGACTGACTGGCTTGACTGGCTTGACTGACTTGACTGACTGACTGGCTTGACTGACTGACTGACTTGAATGACTGACCTGACTGACTGACTGACTTGACTGACTTGACTGACTGACTGACTGACTGACTGACTGCCTGACTGCCTGCCTTCTTTCCTTCCTTTCCCTCCCCTCCCTCCCTCCCTGCCTGCCTGCCTGCCTTTGGATGACTTAAGTTGGCAAATCAAGTGGCTGTCTGAACAAACATTTTTTGGGATGGTCACTTTTAGACTCCCTCGGTGAAAGGTGAAAAAGTATGTTAATCCAGAAAACGTGTTAATCCAGCTGGGGGTCCTTCCCATATAGTCCGGATTAACGGGTTTATACAGTACTTATTTCAGTGTCTGTGAATGGTTATATATCTAGTTTTTGCAGTAATATTATTCAATACTGTGTAATTTGTAAAATACTGTAAATGTTCACTAATCCGGACAATGTGCTTATCCGGCCAAAATTGCCTCCAAATAATGCTATATCTCTATTCGGATGGAATGTCCATAGACTCCAGATGACCGGAGATTTGTCCAGATCAAAGTATACTGATAGAGAGTTTAAATCGAATTCGGTTAACTTTCTGCTGATGTGACCCTATCCGGACTGTAATCCAGACCGGAGATTATTCCGGATAAGAAAGTCAGGCATCAGGCCATACCATATTAATCCTGTACGGCTGTAGTTCGAGGCTCGTGGTATAGTAGGTGTTGGGGTGGGTGGGTGGTGTTGGATGAGAGAGGAGAGTTGGGAGGGACTGCCTAAGGATTAGGGGGCATGTGGAAGGGGCCTATAATTACCAATAATTTTAGAACAATTCATCACAGTAAAAAATTAAAGAAATATTCTCTAATACTGTATTATAATTAATAAAAGTTTCTGAAAAACAAATATGCACAGGCTGAAGTTGCCTCCTAAAATTTTGGGAGTTTTTTCCACCTGGTGGCCTACGTAATGTGCCTCCCTGCCCCAAGTGGACCCGTCCAGGCATGATCAAGGAAAACAGCCCATGTGCTCCCGACCCTCGGGTTATACTACAGTGCCGTGCCATTGGTGAAATATTTTCTGAAATAATTTTTTTGTGTTCACAGTAACTTTGATAATTTTTGTTTGCCAACCCTATGTCTGGTAGCAGCTGGAGGTGTTAAGGGAAAGAAGGTTACCCTAACAATTAAGGACCAGTTATATTTTATAGAACTCTTATAAGAGTGGCCGGTCGGCTGTGAGTGTTGCCAAGGACTTTAATATAGGCACTAGTACTGTTTCTAATATAAGGAAACAAAAAGAGCCTTCAACCAGTGAGGCTTCAGTAGCTGGCAGTCAAAACTGACCTTGCCAAGCTCATGTATTGTACAGTAATTTTAAGCGTTAATTTTAGTGTTGTGTTATAATAGGTTACGTAAATTGTCAAGAATTCTTAACTTCAAGATATGTAGCATCACTCAAGAGAATGAATTACAACAAGGTAAGTTGAGGTTTCTGTTTAAAATATTAATTATAGTACTGTACAGTACTTGAATATTTTATAATTATATGTGGCAATTCAAATTGTGTTGGTTGTAGTACAAAATTTTTTGGAAATGTTCACTTTTGGACTTACCCGGTAAAACATCCTTTGATTCGGATGACAGGCCTATCCAGACGGGAATCCTTCCCCAACCTGTCCTCTTACAAATTACGTCTGAATTTGGCCGTTTGCCCATGTGGCTGAAAATGGACGTAATTTGAAAATAACAAAATTTAAATTTAATTAAAAAATATTTTTCTTTCCAAAACAGCAAGTTAAAGGTCCTCTGGTAGGTTAGGAGGGCAAGAAGTTCTCCTAAGGTTTCAAAAGTCATGAAAACCGTTAATTGAACATTTCTTCTCCTAACCTAACCGAGTAAGCCGGAGGACTCAAAACAGAAAATGAGACAGTACATCACTTTCGTGAGCTGATTTCATTTCAAATTACGTCCATTTTTGGCCATAGCGTGCATACGAGCGAAAAGCAAAGC